AATCTAGTCTTATTTCTTAGCCCAACACAGTAAAATTTCTCTGAAGAATTTTATAGTAAATTACTACTTTTGATACTTTCAAAGTGTTCTGGAATTCAAAGAAGAGAAATAAGACAAAATGCTAATGTGTTTCTCTAATGGCTAGTAAAAGTCAATCACTGCAACCTCATATCCAGGACATAGCAAGGGCAACCCATTAGGCCTGAGATTAGGAAAGAAACATAACCCAGAATAAACATGGGGGAGAAAGGTAGATGTGACAGCTATACATGAGTACTAACGATGCAAAAAACAAATAAAAGAGATGAGAAGAGGTTAGCCACCATTTTTATTTTCAAAATTCAATGAATTTACTTGTTTTAGTTGTAAGAGTTTGACTAAAATTACTATGTACATTCTGGCATCAGTATAAAAAACAATGGTAGTACCACCTGCAATTGTTAGGCCCCTAGGGAAAGAGCAATTCTAAAGTAAAGCCTGAAAGCCTTGATGCTACTCATCAGCTACTTGATTAAAAGAAAGGTCACATACAGTGATGTCAAGAATCCTAAGTTTCCACAAAAATTAGTTCTCAGCCAGCTTCAAGGGCAGAGATATTTCTACATTTGGAAGTGTCATCCTTTCTCTAATACTAATATATTTGGCTTCCATGAAGAATTTTTGCTGTTTATCTTAAAGTTAATTATTTTTATTCTCACAAACATACATTTTTCCTAAAATGGGGGGCCTCTATCGCAATCAACACCTTCTTCAACACAATTGTCATCATAACTATCATCATCAAATTGAGGGCATTCTTTCTGAAATATCTTCCTAAGAGCTAAAATTTTCCAGGTAGATTATAAAAAAGGGTTGTTTTTAATGAAATTCATTTCACTCAGTCATAGCCATCTTAGATTGTTCCCACTTTCCATTCTGACAATATGGAGTTCTAAGTCAGTCAGTTTAGTTCTGTGTACTTGTTGGAGTCAGGCTGGGTTTTTATTTTCTAGTTTTGAAAGAGAAGGCTGGAAAAATACTTGAAGAATGTGAGCTGATATATTTAAAGTCCCATAATATTAATTTTACTTTGACCCTGAAACTGTTCTAAAATAATAAAATCTATTTTAAAATATTGACCATCTATAATGTGTACATGGAAATGGATTCCTGAAGTACTTTATATTTCCAGTAGGATTAGAGAGTAATCCAAAATATTTGTTTATTAATAATCTAAAATCAGGAACAAATTATTAATGAAATGAGAATACAACTGAGTATCAGATTATAGCATTAACCATAGGTAAACAGTATTTGCAAAAGTACAGTATTCATATTACGGGAAATGGTTTCATCTGCTGTGGAAATTTAACAATTCAACTATTAATCTCCTCACAATAAGGATAATAGCAAATATATATTGTGAATTTAGTACATGTTCAGTGCTTATATAAACAATCTATGACATATACTCCCAATTTATTTATTGGAGATAAATTCAAAAAAGCAGAAGCCCAGATAAACTAAATAAATCCGTACTGAGTGAAGAATGTAGGATTTCATGCCACAACCTAGTCTATTCTTTAATAATTATGCTAAACTATTGTATTGACTCAACAATCAATTATATCCATTATTAATGCTGCTTTCCAATTCTTTGGCTTTTATTGAATTGTTTTTGCAATAAATTAAAATGAACCATAAGCTCATAGTGTTCTGAAAACAGTCAAGGGACCTACAAAGCAAACTAATTTAATGTGTAGCTTCTAATTAGCTGTAATTATAATATTTAATAAATGAAACACCTACCTTTAGAGATAATCAAATCTTTTCACTGAACTCCACTTGTGCTATGATGCATACAATAGGCCAATAACAATCAGAAGCATAATTCAAATGCTATTAGGAAATGTAAAAGTAAATTTTATTGCCAGCCTTGAACTATTCTTTCTCTAAATAGATTTAAGATGAAAACTGTGTATAGAAAAATGAATTATATAATCATCCATAATTTAACTCCAATTAAGAAAGCATACTTTATTCTTAGAGAACCCACTCATTCATTTATACACATAGGCAGACACATTCAGGCATCTGGAAAGTTCTTATAAAATTATTAAAGATCTTATCTGAATACACATCAGTGAAAGTGCTCACCTTTGTGCATTAGGCAATTAAACAATTCTAGGCACTGCGACAGCCACCAATATCACAACACAAAAACAAAGATTCAAGTTGTTTCAGAATAAGGTCTCTTTAAGAATAAGACATTTACATTCATGTTTAACCAAGTTTTATTTCTTGAAGCAGTATTTTTGAGGAATTTATTATAGTCAATTTGCAGTTATAAACATTTATGAACAAGCTCCAAAATTTATTTTGTCTTTTTCCTGATCTAACTCCAGTTAAAAAGAAGAATGTAAAATAAACAGAGATGATTTATAAACTGTGCTTTCTCCTTGCAAATATGCATGATGAAATGGTAAGATTATTGAGCATCAGAAGGTGTATGACTTGACATCTGGCTTGCCCCCAAGGGGAAAAATAGTACAGTAGTGTCTTTAAATAAATTTTAACATTGAAAGCGGCAGCAGTAGGAAATAATAGTAAATCTTTTGCTTCATAGAGAAAGAAAAAACTTAACTCGTATGTGGTATCTTCAATCAGGTCTTAATAGCAAACAAAAAAGTGATATTACTGCTTTAAGAATAATTTGGCTTTTGGAAAGAGACAGGAAAATGAACAAATGAAAATTCAGCTGACCAAAGATGCTAATTAGTCTAAAATGCCTTTGCAACAAAAGAACAGCTTCTCCCCGAAAAGACAGCATAATAACGTCTTTAATAACATTTAATAATCAAGAACATTAAACTGCCAAGTATATTTTAAATTAAGTACAAATTTCAGAATATTCGCCTTGTAATTAATGGGCTATCTAACAAATGAGAATAAGTTTTTGCTGATATTCAAAAGTCAGAGCAGCAACACTTCCCACCCCCAAAATGATCAATAGATCTTTCATAACCACAATGTCAATAAGTATAATTTCATTGAAACATTAACAAATCGGAGCCTGGGTTTTTTGTTTGTATGTTTGTTTTAAAAATACCAAATAATGCATCTACTAAGCAATTTATATAGAAGATATTGGATTTTGTCGTTTTAGTTTTTTTATGTAAGGTATACAACACTACAATTTTTAGAATGTCGAGGTATTTTTGGATAAAATTTATCTCAGCTTATTTTTTGCATCCAAAATATGTCCTTCTTGATTTATGTTGCCTAACCAGTGGCTATAAACTCTTGCAGTGACAACTATTATCCATTATCCAGCACTTGACATGCCAGCTCAACATCACTATATTAACTGACTTTCGAGTTTTCTCACTCCCTGTGGGGCCCTCTCTCCTAAGATTGATGAAGTGGGACACAGTTTTTGAGCTGCCATCCTGACTTGAAAAACAGCAAGACTGGTCCTTGCACAGAGTAGAGGCGGGAGGACAAGGGAGGGAGAGAAGCATAGTGTATCCTGGAGTGGCAGAGCCTCATGCACATGTTTTCCAAGGCAATTAAAACATTGTTTTTCAGGTTTTACACTTCAGCCAAACATACAACTTCTCTATTTAGTTAAAGTGGCCAAAGTTGCGTCAATACATATTGCAAAGGTAACAATTACAAAGGGATTAAATTTCTGTCCCTTATTTTAGAGACGCTACTTTCCAAGATAAAAGTTGCTGTTTCTTCCAAGTTTAAATACGCTAAAACTCTAATCATTTCTTGTAAATTCCCAAAATGGTGTTACCGCTTTCTTTTTAACCATTGAATTCACTCTGGCAGAGCTAGAGTAATAAAACTCATCATATTCTAATTTTCAGACAGCTTGATAAACCCACTGTTCTCACTATAGATAAAGTGTAATGAAGCACTTTCTTTCCCATAGGAAAGCCTTTGACTCATATGCTTTGATGCCAACTAGCCTTCACATCTGCTGTTTCACCATTGATGGCTTTAACTTGGCATGCTGAACTAGTGTCTGATGAAGCAGCTTTACTCAAAGGCACCATTTTATTTCCTGCAATGGGAACATAGTAAAATGGTGTTGGTTTCCTGTAGGCCTTATGCAAATCCCTGTAATAAACATAGGATCAGGCCTCACGTACAATAAATTGTGTGTTAGATGAGGAAAGGGGGAGGGAGAAAATCTCTCTGAGTAAAAATAACTTCCTTACTATACAAATAAATCAAATGCATAATAAAGTCATGTTTGAAATATTTATTTTAAACATAACTTATTTATATTTAAACTATATTAAACACTAGTAAAAATATGACACTTTAAAATACTAACTTTATTTTATTGAACAAAATACTACCACTTCATCTAATATTAACTGTTAATGAATTTCCCACAGTCAATATTCCAACGCCATTAATATAGGATAAATAATTTGGGAGAATTAGAAATATTATATGACTATAAAAATATTCACTGAAATATTTCTTTCAGATTTCTAGAAAAGAAGCCTGATGGACAATGAAGAACACAACAACATGAACAAATAAAAGTTTCATTAACAATATTAATCATTAGCCTAAACTGACTGCCCAGATACACTGGTGATCAATCACATAAAGCTTTTATGTTTTGTTTAACTCATTAACACAAAGAAAAAAATGATTATAAACTTCAATATTTGAGATAAACAAAAGAATTAAAAATAAATTTCCTATGTGTTCTAAATAGCCATAGCTGTTTTCTAATTAGTAGTTTGCAAGCAAGTTGGCAAGAATAGTTTTTGGCTTGGAAATCTAAGTGTATCAGGTATTCCATCCTCCAAGTTGGAACAGTATGTTATGTTTGAGGAACATTTTGTTTTCATTTAGATCTGCAAAATAATATTGAGGAATTCTCAAGTAACACAAAGTAATATGTAAATTAGAATTATGTACTAAATCATCCTTGCCAGTTAAAATAGCACTGTTTTTTTTTTTTTTTTTTTTTTTTTTTTTTTTTTTTTTTCCACAACAAGGAAGCAAATAGAAGTAGTTCATTAAATACTATAAGGTAGTAAAAGAAGCTCAGGCAAGAAAACTAGATGAACACGAATCCCAAAGCTCTCGCTCAGAACCCAATTTAATATAAACTTATAGAGTAGGCCAATTAACACCACTTCCTTAATGTCACTTAAAAGTCATCTCTTCTTAATTCAGTCTACATTAGGTAAGCACAAAATCTCATGTACAATCCTCTCAAGTCTCGAATATGGACCCTCATGCTTTCAATCCCCACGGTAGAAAAACCTATGATAAAGATTTTCAGAGAAAAGATGAATGGTCACTTCCCAGGTCCCTTAGAACATATATTTTCTCAATTTACACTTAGAGATACAAAATAAAATGCAACTCTGAGAAACGCGAATGCTCAAAAGGGAAAAGACTCCTTTTTCAATTAATGGTGCTGGGATAATTGGCTAGGTGTATGCTGAAGACTGAAGCTGAACCCCTTTCTTACACTATACACAAAATTCTACTCAAGATGGATTCAAAACTTAAATGTAAAACCCAAAACTATAAAAAGCCGGGAAGACAACCTAGGCGATACTATCCTGAACATAGGAACAGACAAAGGTTTCATGACGAAGAAACCAAAAGCAATTATAACAAATGCAAATATTGACAGGTGAAATCTAATTCAATTTAACAGATTCCACACAGCAAAAAAAAATAACAACAGAGTAAACAGATAACCTAAAGAAGATATTTGCAAACTATGCATCTAATATCTAATATCCTCTAACAAAGGTCTAATATCAGGTTCTGTAACAAAAATTAAACAAACTTATAAGAGAATCATGAACAGCCCCATTAAAAATAGGAAAAGGACATGAACAGGCACTTTTCAAAAGACATGCATGTGGCCAAAAAGCATATGAAAAAAGTTCTATATCACTGATCATTAGACAAATGCAAATCAAAACCACAATGAGATACTATCTCATACCAGTCAGAATGGCTATTATCAAAAAGTCAAAAAATAACAGGTGTTGATGAGATTTCGGAGAAAAGAGAACACTTATACACTGTTGGTGGGAGTATATCATTCTGGAAAGCAGTACAGTGATTCCACAAAGAGCTAAAAGCAGTATTACCATTTGACCCAGCAATCTCATGAATGGGTATGTATCCTGAAGAATATAAAGCATTCTACCATAAACGACATATGCATGTGAATGTTTATTGTAGCACTATCAACATAAATGCTCAAAAATGACAAATTAAATAAAGAAAATATGGTACATATACATCATGAAATACTATGCAGCCATTAAAAAGAATAAGATTATGTCTTTCTTTTGCAGGAACATGGATAGAGCTGGAGGCTATTATCCCTAGCAAATTAATGCAGGAATAAAAAAAACAAATATCACATGTTCTCACTTATACGTGAGAGCTAAATAATAACTATGAGCACAAAGAAGAAAACAACAGACACTGGAGTCTACTTGACAGAGGAGGGTTGAAGGAAGAAGAGCAGAAAAAATGACTGTTGGGTACTAGGCTTAATACCTGGGAGATGAAATAATATTTAGTAATAAAAAACTCCCTCTGACATTTATTTTCCTATGTAACAAAGCTACCCCCAAACTTAAAAGTTAAAAAATAGAATAAAATAAAGATATGAACATGAATGGTCTAACTTTCTTCTGCTGCTGCTTATCTATTATTGGGGTTAGAAATGAAACTCTAATAAGGTTATTTACTCTCAGCAAATACCTGTTGAAAAAGATTATAAACACAATTCTGGCAAATAATTTTTAAGAAGTAAAAATGTGGTAGGAAGATTTATCATTGTTTCATATCTCAGTCTTATATGCGGTCTAGTTTTCAGGGGCAAAAAAAGCCCACCATAATATAAAAAGAACAGAGAGGTTGATACAATCAGTTATTAACTCCTGATGCCAAAAAATGAGGGGATTATTTACATCTCAAATTAAATTAACTCTGCATGCAAAATAGTAACACCAGAGGAGATTAAAAAAAAAAAATTAGTGGCTTGGAATTCTACCTCAAGACATTCTGAATTAATTGGCCTGGCAAGGAGCCTACACTTCAGTATTCTCTTAAAGCTCCCCAAGTGATTCTGATGTTCTCATGTGCTGTCAGTTTGAGAACTGCAGACTTAGACAAATTTCTGTCTTATTATTTATGTATTTAACTCCATCTTTATTGAGTTATGACTGACAAGTAAAAAGTTGTGTATATTTAAGGTTTTCAACATGGTGTGTTTTTTAATATAAGTGTACTTTGTCTAATGATTCCCATGGTCAAGCTAATTAACATGTCTATCACCTGACATAGTTGCCTATTTGTGTGTGTGTGGTAACACTGAATGTCTTCTTTCTTAGTAACTTTTAGGTATAAAATACATCATTATTAACTACAGTTAACATGTACGTTAAATTTTTAGTACTCATTCACAAATAAATATTTTAAGATGTTTAAAATTTAGCAAATAACATACACAAATGAATCACAATAACTCCATCACTCAGAAAAAGGACAATTAATATAAAAGTGAAGACTTCTTATTTTACAGAGTGATATGATTGGCAGTCATGAATAAAATTGTATTTCTATAAGACATTTATGCTATCCAGTCATACTGGTTATAGCACAGCAACATTTCCTGTAATTTTGGTAGTTAGAAGATTGTTCCCATAAGTTAAAGCAGTTTTGAACAGAGGATCCTGATAGTCAGTATTCCTAACTTTACTGAGCAATAGTCTAGCATTTATGATGCATATACAGGGAGGTACAACCTACCAAAAAATCAAAAAGAGTATTCATAAATCTTTGAGACTAATATATCTATGGTCTTGTTATTATTTCATTTTAAAATTTGTTTCCTAGGAACAGAGACAATATTACTCATGTATAACCCAAAGCTGAAATTTGAGAAACATTTTCCTAAATTATTTAAGAGAAAGAGAATAGCACCTAAACAAACAAGGCAACTCATGTGAGTAGCTATTTAATACATCCTCCCTATACATTCTTATTGAAGTACCATGAAGAATTTCTAATTGTCATGTTGTAAAATAATTTTTTTCTGGATAGTGGTTGAAAAGTATTAGAATCTGTATCACAGTAAATATGTGCACATTCAAAGACAACCTGATTTCTAACCATGTGCTGACAAATATTTATTAAAACTCTTCTTATAGACAACCACACTTAACTAGAACACTTGCTGTATAAAATATGAAAAACATTTAAAGAATAATATCAAAAGCCAAACACATCTAAAATTCAAAAAAATTCTAGATAATATTTCTCATTTTAAAATATTTTTCAGTTAATTTTCTGCATATGCACAATGGAACTTTCAAAATGTTTTACCACCAATATAGCAAGAAGAAAATAAAAATTGATTTCAGAAATATTTTTCAATGTGAAAAGCACCCTATGGTTGCCATTGTGAGAATTTACTCTGCTAATGTGTGAATCTCTTCACAGTAAATATATTATCAACATTGTTCTAAATAAAAACAACAGACAAGAATTCTGTTTTGCCTATATTTACAAAATTAGGAGCAATCTCTAATGAATGGTATGTTTTTACATCTAATAAGCACATGTAGAAAACTACCAACTTTTAACATTTTATCTCTCAATGTAAAATTTACTTATATTCTTGTAGTATACTCAAAACAAAATCACTCAAGCTATCAAAAAAATTATTGCAGGCACGCCACACTAGCAATTCAGACTTCAAAATATATACTATCACCCCAGCATAATTTAATTTTAGAAGATTATTGAACTAGTAAGATCAGAATAAGTGGCAGACTATAAGTAACATGTTATAGCTATATCTGCCCCAATGCTGTAAGGCAAGTGTTTTAGAAAGTTAATATAATCAAGTAGTTGAGGTCTTGTGGGTGAGCCAAAATGATTAATACACAGAGCACTTTTGAGTAATGATAGTTATGCCATGATATCTTTGGTTATTACCTTTATTGAGATACTACAAATCCCTTGGTTATAGCCTTTATAATTAATAATAGTAATAAGTCACTTAACCTCTCTGTGGCCCAGTTTCCTCATCTGTTAAATTAGCATAATGATAATTGCTTCCTATCTTCCTTAGAAGTTGTCTGAAGATTAATGAGCTGGAATTTAGAGTGTGCTTTGCAGAGAAAGGCAGTAATAGTTAGAAGAAAAAAAAAAAGGACAAAAGAGAGAGACAGAGAAAGAGAACACAAGAAAGAAAGAAAAAAATCTCCCCAGAAAAATCCTCCTTTGCTCAGTACCAAAAACTAAAACTTTTTACCTCGGATGGATTAACCTACTTGCTTTACATTTCTAACTTCATTACCTACACTTTAAAATCAATTGACTTTTAACAGAGAATTAAAATGGGAAAGCCACAAAGGGCTCTATGTTTTTGACAAACTTTGACTGCTCTGTAGAATAATAAAATTTCACACACAATCACACATTATACCTGAAAGCCCCTGTCATATGTTTCCATCAGTGAATGTAAAATCCATTGTGCCAATGGGTAACTGTATGGAATTTGACAAGAGCAGCAAGGTGCTACAATAAAGAAAAGCTAAACATGTGGTGTTGATTCAGGGCACCCATAGCAGATAACAATCAAATTATCATTTTGGGAGGCTGGGAAAACAGGAATCTATGACTATAGGGGAAAATATTATTTCAAATTACATGTTGTATTTGTAGTGACTTGGAAGATAGAAAATGAATTAATAATCTTTTAGATTAGCCAAAAGATAGCCAAACAAAATGACAAAACATTCAAAGTACCAGCTGGCTTGTTTTAGCTACATGTAAGGTAGCACAAGAAAGTGATAAAAGAGTAATCAGAACAACAGCAAGGAGATGGAGAAGGAAAAAGGGGATAAGCAGGAGAGGAAAATAATATTAAAAAGAACTGACATCTTTGCAAGCTGAATTTAGAGGTAATGTAGAGGGTATAAAACTTGCATGGTTGGATAACAAACATATTTCTAATTTTCAGTGTTGCAAGCCAGCGAAAGTTCTTAAAATTTTCTCAATATAGCCACAAACCTTAATTAAGAATCAAATTAAGCATGTTGCCTTAGACGCTTTCTTAAAACCTCTGAAAAAGTCAAGGCGATACCTTGTAGATTTTCTCATTTGGATAAAGATCGTCTAGTCCAAAGTAGCAATAATTCAGTCTGAAGAGAGACATATCTTTAAAAGAAGAGTGTGTGTGGCCTTTACAGTATAAGTAAATTCAATTAGACACATTTAAAGGTTAAGCAGAAATTGTACTGGTCAAAGCACTATCACCCTGGTGTAGAAGGAACTGAGTCTATAAATATAGAAACTTGGGCTCTCAAGTTTCTGTGAGAAGGACAGTTGACTTGGAAGACAAAGGTTTATGTTACATGTCACTAAGTTTTTGGCTATTTGTTAAGCAATATTTTTGTGGCAATTGCTAATTCACACAAATTCACGACATGTAAGTTGAGTGCCAGGAACTAGAGATACAAAAGTGAATGATATACATTCATTCAATTCCTATTCTCTTGCTGTGCAG